AGGTCCGTCTTAGGACCACATGAGTAAACACGCTCTTTAGATAAACTGCTTTACATTCCTTTTTGCCTAATTGCCTCTGGGTAAGAACCACCACCTTCAGCTCATTCCTTCCTGAGGCCTTTGCAAAAACCTCCCAGCCTTCCAAGAAGGTTTGCATCCTTTTCTCTCTAATTTCTCCCACCACCCTGACAGAACCCCTACAGATTAGTAGTTGCTTCTTATAGATGAGCAAAGGAAGTGGTTTCTTGAGATGAAATCTACTCCTGATGGAAGATGCCATGAACACTGCTGAAATGACAACAAAGGATTTAGGATATTCCATAAACTTAGTTGATAAAGCAGCGGCAGGGTTTGAGAAAAATGACTACAATTTTGCAAGAAGTTCCACTGTGAGAAAAATGCTGTCAAACAGCATCACATACCACAGAGAAATCTTGTGTGAAAGCAGAGTCAATTGATGCAGCAAACTTTGCTGGTTTTTTTTTTTTTTTTTTTTGAGACACAGTCTCATTCTGTCACCCAGGCTGGAGTGCAATGGCATGATCTTGGCTCACTGCAACCTCCCCCTCCCAGATTAAAATGATTTTCCTGCCTCAGCCTCCCAAGTAGCTGGGATTACAGGCATTTGCCACCGCACCTGGCTAATTTTTGTGTTTTTAGGGAAGATGGGGATGGGGTTTCACTGCATTGGCCAGGCTGGTCCCGAACTCCTGACCTCAAGTAATCTGCCCACTGTGTCTTCCCAAAGTGCTGGGATTACAGGTGTGAGCCACTGTGTCCAGCCTAAAGTACTTTTTTACATTAAGGTATGTACATTTTTTTAAAAAACATAATGCTATTGTACATTTAATATGACAGTAAAGCAATGGGAAGGTTTAGACTAGCATAGTATAATCAATGTTTATATCCACTGGGAAACCAAAAAATTTATGTGACTTGCTTTATTGCGATATTCACTTTACTTCGGTGGTCTGGAACCAAACCTGCAACATCTCTGAAGTATGCCTGTATACATGAAATATTATATCAATGCATAATTAATGTAAAGTTATTAATGAGGCCAGGTGTGGTGGCTCACACTGTAATCCTAGCACTTTGAGGGGCTGAGGCCGGCAGATCACTTGAGGCCAGGAGTCTGAGACTAGTCTGGCCAACATCGTGAAACCCCATCTCTACTAAAAATATAAAAATTAGCTGAGCATGGTGGTAGGCGCCTGTAATCCCAGCTACTTGGGAGGCTGAGGCAGGAGAATCACTTGAACCCAGGAGGTGGAGGTTGCAGTGAGCCGAGCTCCTGCCACTGTACTCCAGCCAAGACAACAGACCAAGACTCTATCTCAGAAAAAAAAAAAAGTTATTAATGAGTTATTTTAGGTTCTTGATATGTGCTGAGTTTTTGGAATCTGGTGTGCATTTCACATTCAAAGCATGCTTCAGTTTGCATGCGTCTCAGTGCATATGCCTAACAGCCACATGTGGCTGGTGGCTGCCCTGGCAGACCACATGGTGAGTGTTATAAGAGGGTTAATTATTATTTTAACTTCCAATCCTTAACAATGGATTGTTTCTCTTATTCTCCACTGCCTCACCTTAAACCAGTTTTTCAGCCTCCTCACTTGGCCTCCCCATATTCACTAGCCACAGCACCCTGCCATCTGTTCTTCATACCAAAGTCTAGGAATTCCTTCCAAAATATATGGCTGGCTCGTCCTATCCCTGCCCCAGGGCCCCTGAGCCTTCCCTGAACCTCTCTCCTGTCTCTGTGGGCTTCAGGTGCTAACCTTCCTTCAGCTCCATTCTCCTTCCTCAGTCCTTGGAGATACCCCATTTATACCTCCTTTCTCCTTTCTATCTGCCTCAGGAAGCATTTCCTAGTGGTTTCCAGTCCCTTGTCAAATGACTTTGTTAAAATCATGTTTTTTTCTCTGTCATATAGTCATGTTTTTTTCTTCAAAGCTCTTATCTCTAGTTGTAATTTTGCTTTCATTGGTGGAATCAATTAATTATCCCGTCTCCTGCCCCTACTAGACTGTAAATTCCTTCAGGGCAGGGAATGAGTTTGTTTTGTTCACCATTTTATCCCCTCCACCTAGCCCTATGCCTGGCATCTTGCAGGCTCTTGTGAAATAATTTGAATAAATAATTGAAATCAGCAAATATGTAACTATTGTTACAAGACCTTACAAAAACAGAATGAAGGGAATTTAAAACAAGGAGGGAAATGCCACATTGTCAGCTTTTAATTTAATTTGAAATTGTAAAGGGAAAGAACAGAGGGATTCTAGAATAGAATAATGCACCATGTAATAAGATTCAGAAAACTTCACAAACATGGAAATATGAACATTTAGAATGACATAAGGCACAGGCATGAGCAGACTGTGCCCTTTACCATCCCAACCATATAAAACAAAAGGAGATGGGGAAGAGGAAGAATATTGTGAGCCATATTCTACTTCTCTCATCCTTGAAAAATTAAGTATTTGATGAGCATGGAGAAATCTGGATGGTAAAGAAAGAATGATGCCTCTCTAACACAGATTTTTATATGATAGTCTTGCTTCCAAATGTTCTTTACTCTTTTCTCTGTAACAGTTGAACTCTCATCCAGTATCTCAGCAAAGCAACAGCATATACTTATGTTTTTTGTATGCCATGTGCTGGTAATACAGTAGAAAACAATGTAGCTGTCATCTCTGTCTTCTATCGTGTGGGTTTAGGGATGTTATTAACCTCTTATTTCCTTCCTTTTAGTTCTATGTTAGTTGAGTTCAGATTCCAAGAACTAGGTGAGGTTTAAAGTACAATATCAGGACATGTAAGACAAGTGACAGTAAAGGTAGTTCAATGAATCTCACTAATAAGGTAAGAAACTCATTATTCCCTAAAGAGAGAAAGGGGGTAGTGACAATGGAAAGAAAAGCGGACAAATGCTCCCATATTTGTCCTTTCTGGAGTGTGGAGTGGATAACTGTTCATTTCTAAGAAAACATGAAGAATCCATGAGAACTTCCACTCACTGCTAACATGAAGCTTCTGGCTCATCAGTTGAGTAGAGAAAGAACACTAGAAAGAGTAGTGGGTTTGAGTGAGCCAGAGAGAGGATGAATTTCTATTTTTGGATGAGCTAAATTCTGGTAGCATAGTACATTCCTCTTAAAATCTCAGGGACTTAACCCCACAAAGGTTTAGTTCTTGCTTCTCGTGCACACGACATCTATTGTGCGTTTGGCAGCAACCTTCCAAGCAGTGAAGGAAATCCACTCACCTTCATCTTGTGGTTCTGTTACTGTCACCAGGGCTTCCAGATTGCTAGGAGCTGTGAGATCCTTGAAATTCACAGCCTCTGCATGGAAGGGACATACCTCTCTCTTATTCACAGTCCATTGAGCAGGGCTAGTCATGTGACTGTGCGTGACTGCAAGAGGGCTTGTGGTGTTATTCTGTGTGCCCAGGAAGGAGGACAGCTGTATGTTAGTGAGCACTAAGAATGTCCATCACATATATGGTGGCATTTACAGTACCTGCAAAATATCCAGGTAGAACTATTTCCTAGGCAGTTGGATAGATGGGTCTGCAATGGCGCATCTCAAATGCGTTGGTGCATAAGACTCATCTCCAGGACGCTTTAAAAGATTCAGATTCCTTGGTCCAACTCAGAGATTCTAATTCAGTAGGCTTGAAGTGAGGCTCTAGAATCTGAATTTCCAGACTTTGTAGAGACCATAATTTGATAAATACGTGTCTAGAAAATTCAGCAACACATGATGGTTCTTGCTGCTACAGGGAGAGATGCGATCATCTATGGAAAGAATAGAAGAGGGCCAGGGAGAAAAAGAGAAGAACCAGACCGAGTCCTGGGAAATACCAAGGGGAGAGTCTTTTTCAAGAATTAGAATGGAATACCCATTTACAGCAAATGCTGCTGAGAGATCTTGTAGAATGAAGACTGTAAAGGATGCATTGCTTTCCCCTCCCAACCCTCCCCCTACTTCCCTGAGATAGACTCTTGCTCTGTCACCCAGGCTGGAGTGCCATGGTGCGATCTTGGCTTACTGCAACCTCCACCTCCCTGGTTCAAGCAATTCTCCTGCCTCAGCCTCCTGAGTAGCTGGGATTTCAGGCACCTGCCACCATGCCCGGCTAATTTGCATATTTTTAGTAGAGATAGGGTTTCACCAAGTTGGCCAGGCTGGTCTCAAACTCCTGATCTCATGATCTGCCCACCTCAGCCTCCCAAAGTGCTAGGATTACAGGCATGAACAACCACGTCCAGCTGGATGCATTGTCTTTAATGAAAAAGAGGCTACCCATAACCTTAATAGGAGTTGAACATTAGGCCCTGTTTGTTGAAGAGTGGGTGGGAATAGACAACCCATGTGGACCATCCTTGGAGGATGTTTGGCTATAAAGAAGAGAAGAGAAGGAGGTAACTAAAGTGGGTGGGGTGGGATCAGGAGGATTTTTTTAAAAAAAAATATGATACTAGAAAATGATTACATGCTAATAGGAAGGAGAGGTTGAAGAAAGAGAAGACAAGAGATTGTCACTAGATTTCCTGAGAAGATAGGAAGGAATAGAATATTGAGAACACTTTGGACGGATTTGCTCTAGCTTGGCAGGGGAACACTCCTTCATCATCAAAGGAGTGGAAGAGGAAATAATGGTTCTGGAGTGCTTACTAGAATCACTTAGGAACCTTAAAAATGTATATACTGTTGCCTACTCTCAGCCCTAAGATTCTACTTTAATTGATCTGCATTATAGCCTGGATGTCAGCAATTTAAACAAGCTCTCCCAGATGGTTTTAATGAACAACCAAGCTTCCAAGGTTTTCACTGGGTTAGAAACAGGTCTGCTTAGGGTTCTTGTAGATTCTTAGGCTACAGCTTAGACAGCACTTCCTTAGAGAAGACATCCAGATCACCCATTAAGTTAGGCCCCTGGACGTATGGTCCTATGGCACTATACTTACTATCTTTACTTCTAATTTCTTACAGAATGCATGTCTTTCTACTAGATTGTAAGCTTGTCAGGGCCACATCTGTCCTGCTTACTGCTGAATCCCAGCTGGCAGAACGTAGACATTTCATAATATTTTTGGAGCAAATGCATCAATCGGACTCTCATGTGTAAAGGAGGGCACAGGATGAAGGAACAGTGTGGTGACTTGGGACGCCATGCCATGCTGCTGCAACCATGTCTGTCTGTGGCTGTATGTGTGTGCTCTGCACCTCTAGATGAACTCACCAAACAGCATCTATGGAAAAGCCCATGGAACTGTCACTGCCAGGCCAAGGTGATTACAATGTAAGGTGATATCAATAGTGAGTGTTTCTTGTGTCATCAAGCATATCTTGTTTGTATTTTAAAGGTGTTTAAAGTACAAAATTACAGCTGGGCACGGTGGCTCATACCTGTAATCCAAGCATTTTGGGAGGTCGAGGCGGGTGGATCAGTTGAGCTCAGGAATTCGAGACCACCCTGGGCAACATGGTGAAACCCTGTCTCTACTAAAATACAAAAAAGTTAGCCAGGTGTTGTTGCAGACGCCTGTTATCCCAGATACTCGGGAGGCTGAGGCATGAGAATTGCTTGAGCCTGGGAGGCGGAGGTTGCAGTGAGTCGAGATCTTGCTACTGCACTCCAGCTTGGGCTACAAAGTAAGACTCTGTCTCA